GTAACGGTTGGCGGATCTAAGTTACTGGCAATTTTTAATGAAACTGACAACAAGCAATCGTTAAATTATTTTATAAAATGTCAATAATGAATTATTCAATGACAACTTTATTTAAGTTATACAGAAGAAATAAGATAGGATTTCTGATTAAAAAAAAAAAAAAAACAAAATGTGCAAAGCGTTTTCGCTATTATCCGATCTTATAGTTTTCGGAATTTTCTAGAACGTTAGGTGGCGTCGAACCTGATGTTAAAAAAAACAAGGCGATTAACACTACATGGATATAAAAATAATGTTTGGTTTTTTTATGTGAATAAGCATGGAAATAATGGTAAAGCGATTGATATCTTAGTTTTGAATATATTTTAATATATATCGGAAGACTATTAGTAAGCTATGCTTATAAATTTATGAGAAAAATGTGCATGTTCGCCACATAGAGCATCATGGCAACGAGCCCGAAGGACAATTTGTACATTATAGTAATAAACTTGCTAAAGAGAAAATGTCAATTAATGAATATGGTATTGTTCAAGTAGGTTCGAATCCCACTGTGGGACGTGGAGACCGGTCCTTCGGATGAGACTGTATAAACCGAGGTCCCGTGTCGCAGTAGGTGCTGGCACGAAAAAGATCCCTCAGTGCTCAATGGCCGTAAGTGCCGAGCATAGGACAAAATTTGCAGCTCTCCACCGGCAAGTGTTGGCGTCTCCATATGAGTGAAAAATTCTCGAGAGGGACGTTTAACAACATACCAACAAACAAAAGTGGTTCATTTCGCATTTTACTAAAGCTTTTAAAAATTTGTGCTTTAATCAACTTTTCTGCATACAGTCTTCTATATTAATAACAGTGAATGCTTTAAACTTAAGGAAAAAAAATGAACTTGGCAAATCCCAGCCACATACTTGTGCCACAGTTAGAGGTGATAGGGAAGCCTTAGTTTCATTTTCTCTGACACTTCTGATGTTCAGGGTTGTTCAAAGTCCAGTTCTGTTGATTCTATGGAGGATTACAAGCCCTTTTTGTCTCAGGGATTAGTTTCACTTGGTGACTCAAGCGAAGGTAAACCTGTTTAGATTTTGAAAGATACTAGTGCTGCACTTTGTTATTACACTGTAGAGGGCGTGCTTCCTTTGTTTGAGCAGACTTCTACTGGCGGCTCAGTTTTATTACAGTTTGTGGAGCTAGGCGTGTGGCAACGCACTTTGAAAAAAATTTTCAAAGTGCGTTAAAATTGGAACAAAATCAACGCACTTTGAAAAAAAATTTCAAAGTGCGTTAAATTTTGGACAGAATCAACGCACTCTGAATTTTTTTTTTCAAAGTGCATTAAGAGTGTACATCAACATTTTTACCATGGAGACACTTAACGCACTTTGAAAAAATACGTATAAAACAATAATTCTGGACTACGATTTTAATAATAGACAGCATTTGTTATATTTCTTCCGAAAAACTGATGAATTGATCTACCCTCATCGAGAACGAGGAGAAGACTGGTAGAAAGTCCCTCAGCCCAACTCTCTATCTTTCCTACACAAATATATGTACATGTATTTACATGACTGGTATGACATTGATATTATTTCTCACAATAAATTTGAGTTAACGTAAAATAGATGAAAAAAATTGAGATTAGTTTTCCTGAAAAAAAAAATTACGCACCCTATTATATTTAAGAAGAGAGCTGCATAACCTTTATTCAATATGTATCCACAATGATTCCTCAGAAAAATGCATTCACATGGTAATTAAAACATGTTATTTGACATGTCTATCGTTTTTATGATATCAAATTACAGATTTAGAAGTAATCTGACTGCATATCTTTTTGAGAAAAAGTTATTAGTGAACGAGGTAAAAATTTCAGTCGAGTGAGTATTGTGGCTAAGGGGTATTTTCTTACTATCAAATAAATGAGAACCATTGTTTCATATATGTTCACAATAGATAGATAGATGAATATGATAGAAAAATAGATGAGAGGGAGAGAAGGAGAGAGCTAATCACTTATTGACACCTACATCTACCGAACTTATTAGAGACTGGATAAAATTTAAAAAAGAAAAGAAGAAAAGGAAACGAACTGTGCTATTAAACAGTCATTCCTCCATTATTTCTAAGACCCATTTCCCTTTTATAACAGTTACGAGAATCTTTGGAAACAAGACAACTCCTTAAAATCTTTGAAACGTCTATGTCTCAGATCCTGACGTCATCATCGAAAAGTTATCCAACCAGGTTCAATAAATCATTTATCATTCCTAAAATTTGCAAGAATATTGACCGAGCCATGCACATTTTTTTTCAAGGTGCGTTAATATGGTCGATATTAACGCACTTTGAAAAGAAATATATTTTTTTTCAAAGTGCGTTAACGTGGTCCCAAAATTAACGCACTTTGAAAATTTTTTTCAAAGTGCGTAATTTTTCAAAGTGCGTTGTAACATAGGCGTCAATGATGTTCCCCTGCAAAGAATTTGTTAAAAGTCAAATTTAGTCGATGGAACTGTTACTGTAGGTGTTCGACATACACTTCCCGTTCCAGGCATTTCTTTCTTGCTAGGCAACGATTTAGCTGGTGGCAAACTTGTACAAGATCGTATAGTTTGTGAGAAAATCACCTCAAATGTCATTTGCGACTACGAAGACGACGACTTATGTGCTGTTATTAAAGCGATGGCCCGAAGACGTGAAGTGGAGGCTGACCATACTCAAGCCCTAGACACGACAAATTCCTCTACTGACATTGATGTGAAAGACACTTTCTTTTCTGACCTTGATGGCACTAAAACAAGCGTGGAACCACATAATATGAAAAGGTCGGTGAAGAATGAGCCTTTATCGAACCCTAATGGTGTTGTTGACATATGACGGTTCTGTTTTGTGCTGTAAGTTTTCTCTAACTCAATGCTCATTTCACGCTCTCTTTCATCCTCTTGTCTGTAATTTTCCGATTACTCTCTCGCTCTTCTCTTTCTCGTTCTTCTCTTTCTCTTTCTATTTTTTCTCGTTCAAATTGCATTTTAATTCTACTTGATGCCGAAATTCCAACATTTTCTAAGGTTTTTACTCTGATTTAACTGTAAGCTTTTGGAAAATAGTATGTCTCCAAAATGTTCTTATTTACAAGTTTGTTTGGAACCTTATTTTGATTTCTTGCTTTCTCAGAGAAGATTAAACATCTAACCCAAAGTGTATACTTAAGTGATCAAGACATCCGTTTTAACGTATCAAAAACCTGAACGCTTGGTAAGTTAAGAAAGTCTGTGACCGAAAACACCATTTTGATTTCTGCTGGCATTTTATTGATCTAATTCAAGAAATCAAATACACAAAATTATGACATTTAACTTAAAACTACAAAAGTGCAAGATATTCTTGATCCCGTACGAGCCTCCAATTTTGTTATGGGTCAGAATAACCCAAAATGCAAGCAAAAATCAATCACACAGATTTTTAACTTAACATTTTATTTACAATAATGTATAAAAATTGAAAAGTACAAACTTACAGGAAGAATCCAAACATACATGTAATAGAGCGTCCGTTATTGAACACACATTGCCCAATGAGAGTATCCAAAGCCTACGTGTATCCCAGTCTCCTTGTTCTCAAATCTTACCCAATCGACAGTGTATGTATATATAAACATAAACATAAATCTAGGAAATTCTAGAAATTGGAAATACAAGATGTTACCGGAACATCCTGGACATATGCGAAATTAAAGAATGTTCTAGAAAAAAATGACGATACATGTTGACCACTACTAAATGTTACAGAAGTTTATTATGTTATATATATATATATATATATATATATATATATATATATATATATATATATATATATATATATATATATATGAAACAATACAAACGTTATATATATATATATATATATATATATATATATATATATATATATATATATATATATATGAAACAATACAAACAAACTTCAACTACACAACATGATGCCCTGGGAGTATCCCATTATTTCTTTTTATCACTTAAAACGTTTTGAAAGGAGGGATTCAAAGAAACCATCCAGCAAGTATTCGAAAGCCTAAATTGACAGATCGACCTATGCACCGATCAAATAGATGGAACATTCCCTCGTCAATTTCATTTTTAAAAATGCCAAAAAATCGGTACGAGTCGTCACCCAAATACGACTCGATGATATCTGTGTTAACAAGATCATTATAACGTCCATGATATTTACGAAATGCCGACTTAAACGAAGTTGTTAAAATCCTTGTTATATCAACTAATCTCTCAGTAGGTCTCCTTGGTTTAAAATTAAACGTAGTCAAAGCATTCCCTTGAGTTGAGAGACATAAACATTATAAGTAGGTGATAGCGGAATATTAGTCCATAATTCAGTTGCAAGTCGGCCCTTAACGTCTATAGTCTGTAAAATATCCAAACATGAAACAGACGTGACAGTCTCTGTTGTGTGTTTTCTTTAAAGTTCACTTGGATATATCGAGTCGACATATGAATGGAGGTAACTATTGTTAATTGACAAAACGTTGTCGAAATATGAATGTCGAGTCGCAGGCCACAGCAAGTGTTTTCTTCTTTTCGAGTTGAAGTTTTTGAATAAATTCTGATTAAAAGGAATATTCATGTAAAAATAAGTCAGGTAATAAAAGAGCACAATAAGTGCACGTTCCCAACGTAATTCCAACAGTTTGTTTGAAGACCTGGATTGAGTTGCTCAAAACTCTGGTTAAGTTTAACCACTGGTTAAATCTCTTATCCAGTGGTTAATTTCTAACCATTGGTTAAATTCCATTGCTCAAAATTTGTCCACTGGTTAAAGTTACTTGTCCAAAGGTTAATTTCATCTAACCACTGGTTAACTTTAGCACACCTAAGGGAGCTGTGCTAACTGTTAACCAGTGGTTAGTTATGGCTGCAAGGTTAGTCTTCGATTCCAACTTTGGCAGACGACAAAGAAAAGAAAGGGTATATAGACATTTCCATCACAATTTTGAAGAGGGGGAATTTTCATCTAGGTACAGATTTTCTAGAGAAACAGTAGCAGAAATTACATATATGCTGGAGCCGTATCTGTGCCGCCCAACACTGCGTTCTTATGCAATGACTGCACATGAACAAGTTTTAATGGCACTGAGATATTATGCGACTGGGGACAAAATGACAACAATTGGGGATACCATGGGTTTCCATGTTTCTAGCGTGTCCAGGAGTGTTAGGGATGTGTCAGCCGCACTGTGTGACATTGCTCCACAATATATCAAATGGCCCACAGATCCAGCAGAGAAGATGACCATTAAGCAGGGATTTTACTCCATTGCCTCATTCCCTGGAGTTATCGGGGCTGTAGATGGGACTCATACTCGAATCCAGTCCCCGAGAGAATATGAACATACCTATGTTAATAGAAAGGGGTTTCACTCCATAAATGTCCAGGGAATATGTGACCATACAGGTAATCTTAGAGCTGTGATATTTTACCAACGATACATTTTCCTCATTAGAAAACCCCCTCTTCTTCAATTCAATAATGGCCAAATGCCTGGAAGTACATGTGTAGGGTGAAAGTTTGAAAATGGTAATATTTCCATACGAGTTAAATATTCAAAGGTAAAGTGATAGACTGCGAATCAATAAATCCTTTTACTACTACAAATATAATAAGTTACATGTAACATACATGTAGTTAATATATCTAACTAGTGGTACCGCGAGCAGTAAACTCACTGAATGATACCCCCCCCCCTATAAATATATATGGCGAAAGTCCATGTTTTGCTCTTGGGGACCCCAAATAATTGTCAAATAAAAATGTACAATAAGCCTCTCAAATGCACTTTATAACAAAGACTCTGTGAAAGTTTCATTAGATTTCATTCAGTGGTAGAGGAGGACTTGCAGATATGAAATGGGAACCACAAAGCATAACGGAGGTACAGACAGACGGACGGATGTACAGGATATGGACGGAAGTGGACAGACAAACAGACATAAATCCCTATCACTATTTACCCTCCCACGTCTCATGCAAATATAATTATGATATTTCAAACACATTTTTGAAAGTCACATTGCTGGTTTATTATAGGGAAATTTTTGAATGTTTCTGCAAAGTGGCCAGGTTCGAACCACGACTCTTTTATTTTCCGGAGTTCGGACATCGGCATTCATTTAGAAGGAAACCATCGGGGTATTGATGTGGACGGGGTTCTTTTGGGAGATAGTGGGTATGCCTGCAGTAGGTACTTACTTACGCCATACCTGCGGCCTAGTACAAGGTATATGCATGTACCATTACTGATGTCAATGAAATAAAATTCATGAATAACTAAATTACTTTTCATTTAGAAAACTGTGAGCACTGGAAAAATTTAGAAAAACAGCGATATAATGGAACACTAAATTGGGCTATATTCTATTCATTTTTTAAGTTTCATGAATAATAGTAAGCAGACGAAGTTACTTTAATTCCAAGTTTAATGCATTATTTGTAATGCTGTGTATATTCTTTTAAAATTCTACACTTAGAGCACAAATAAAGTACAATGATGCTCATGCAAAAACTAGGGGTGTCGTGGAAAGGTGTTTTGGTTGGTGGAAGAGGCGTTTTATAGTGCTTCATGAAGAAAATAAAGTAAGCATCTTACAAATGAAACAAACAAACAAAAAAATCACTGATCTTGCTATGAACCTTTCCAATATAGTACATTTTACACATTCTCCTGACTAAAAAGATGATAATTATTTCAGGTATTGAGTTTTAATTTTAATGTTTTCACAATTTTTTCTTTCACTTTTTTAAAATTTTGATTCTTCAATAAATTCTACATGCTACCTTACCTGAATAATAATAACTTACTCTATACATACCTTAAGATAACACATCTCCAAATAATTAGATAGTACAAAGTAATTTTAAGAAAATATTCTGTTTAATTTTTTAATAGTTTTTATTTTTGGGAGGGGGGGTGTTAAGACATAGGGGTATCCTACTCTCATGTTCTAAAAGTTTTGACTAGCTAGTTTAAGTGTAGTGGTACGGTATGGTACTAGTATCCCCTCCCCTGCCTCCTCATTCTAAGTGCCTGAAAGTACCGAGTACACTAATACATACTTCAGTATTTATAGGACCATTCTATTAAATTTTAATATTCATTGACATTTAGTTACAGTTTGCATTTACTTAAACATATTTTTACAAATATGTTTTTTTGTGTTAGTGTGAACCAGGGCGGGTTGCAAAGATAGCGGTGGCTTGTGCTGTACTGCACAATATAGCTCTTCAGAGACATGAGCCAATGGAAGATGATATTAATGGCCCAGGAGACAATGGGGGAAATGACGGAGCAGTGCAGGGTCCCATCAATGATAATGTCAGGAGATTTATCACAGAGCATTATTTCAACTGAGTGTTCTCAAAATTTGATGAAATTTTATTAATGCAGCTAAAAACTGAATATTTAGAAATGTCAACAGTTTTTCAAACTAAGAAATACAACACAGAGAAATTTCATTTTTAAAAATATAAATCAAGAACAAGATGCCTATGGACCACAAAGCTCACCAAAGACACTCTGACCTTATTCTTAGTTTATCAGCAGACCCCCCCCCCCCTATATACTTCTGTATTTAACACTGATCCCCTATTGTAGTCTCATCCTACCCCAGGAGAAAATGATTTAAACAAACTTGGAACGGAAACTAAGTGGACCGACAGACCAACCGACAGACAGCAGAAAAACAATATACCCTCCCTTCTTCATAGGAGGGCTTACATAAAAATCATTAATGGTTCACTATTCGTATGAGAAGATTTTAAAAGCCCCCCTTTCTTATTCCTACATAAATATTTGATTCCCCACTGTGACCCCATCCAACCCAAGGGTCCTCATTTGTTTTTTATAATTCTAATAATTCTGAATTTTTTTTAATATAGGGTAAAAAATTGGAAAGTTTAGAATGACAACGATGACAACAACAAAGTATGATTAGAAAAAGCACTGACTTTGGCTCATGTGTGCTAAAAATTTAGGGTTCATTTATATTGCTAGGTTCATGATTAGCAATGTCCATTTTAAGCTTCTTGATTTCAAGATCCACTTTTGTCTTCTGGAGCTTAATCAATTCCCTCTGTTCCTTAATTCTCTCTAAATCCTCAAGCAGAACACGTCTTTGAAGATCTGACACCTTTAATTGTAATTCTGAACTGCCTGTTTCAATAGGTTTCCTCTTTCTTTTCTCTTCAGCTGAATTATTCAATGAAAATATGTCACTGTAAAGCATGCATAATTGAAATATAAATTTAATTTTCATAATTCATCCATATGATATGGTCAATTAAATGTGAATGATAACATTTATGAAAGTGTACCTGAACAATCAGACTTTCTAACAGTTGTCCCTGAATTGGATATTGTTACATTGAATGCAACAGGTGATCCTGTATAAATTAAACCACAAGATAATTTATATTGTTAATTGCTGACACCAATAATGTAAACATAAACATATAATAAATGTATATATTTTTTGTTTAAATTCAAACAATATAAATTCATTTCAAGCATATTCTGTTTTCATATTTATCAATGAGCAATAAAACTTTATTAATCAAATCCATACCTGAAGAATTTTCAGGAAGTTCAATGATTTGTTGGCTCTCACCTGTGTATAAGTAACAATCATTTTAATCTACATTGCAATAAAATTTCCCATATCTCCAGCAGATTTTAAATTTCTTTGATTTAAATTCCTTTGGATGTTTATATTCAATGTTTCTATAAAATCAGATATATATTTACAAAAGTGTCAATACCATTAGATGCTAAGGTCTCAAGCCCACATCCATTATAGGTGTTGCATGAACTTGTATTGCATGAGATCTGTGATTCTGAAATTAAAACAAATAAATATTAAATATTTATATGTACAATTATTGTAAAAAGTAGTTTACATACATTTGATAGAGTTATAACTGGAGATTGAAATTTTTCAGTTTGAGTTTCAGTCTCAAAGCTGGATTTTTTTTTACAGTTTTTTTTAAGTGAAAGAAAGTGATAAGTATAGTGTATTAATGTTTCTCAAAAGTCAAATTAAATTTATTCAATAAAATAATTTTTAAACTACCCAAAACTATTAATAATAGTTTTTAATTTATTTAACTGGTTGTGTATTACATTATTAGATATATGTTCAGAATATATATGATTTGCTTACCAAGACCTTCATTAACACAGTCACTATCTTCAGGTTTAGGAACTGATTTCTCTGAAATTGTACATACATATAAATATTATAAAAAATGTCTACAATTTGTCTTCAAACAAACTGCCTACAGGGTAATTAAATTTTTTTTGTTGGATGTATATATTTTAAGTCTGTGAAAGATATAGTAAAAGCTTATAATTCAAATTAAATGAAATTTAATTTGACTTGTAGAAAACATTGTATGACAATAAAATTCTGACTAAAATTAAATAAAAGTGGTTCTAGTCTGTCCTTGATTTGTACTTTACTTTAATTTATTTGCCAGAAATAATTGTGCGTACATCGGCATGGAAAATCACCGACATTTGCACGGTGTAATGTCAAAGTGGTACGGACCGAATCATCATAGGAGCGAAATAGTTAATTTGACCATGACCTTTGTATTTGTTTTGGTGGATGCAGAAAGAATAAAAGCTTCTTATAGAATATGTTACAATGCATAGACAGTGTGCGGCGTTAGCAAAAAACGTAAAACTTGATCCCGTACGACTTTCAATGAATTCATCTAATATTTCTCACGGAAGTAAACGCCGTCGTTCCAGATTATAGTAAAATGCGAATTTCCTCGCCAGTTCATGCAGACGAAGGACCGAGTTGTGCCGAGATTTATGAAGACACAGAAAAATAATAAATAAAGGTTTGTCAAAATTACTTACCTGTTACATTAAATCCGCCAACCTCAATCCCACCTTGAAAGCCTGTGAAATTAGGGGAGTCCTCGTGAAGATCCAATATCTTTTGAGAAATGGCATCAAGAGGGGGATGAGGTGGCCCTCCACCAGTCTTTCTCCGATGAATCTTCTGGGTTACGTTATCCCCCTTTGCTTTTGAACAGGCCTTACGGTATTTCTCTTTGACCTGTTCAACGGTCCTATTTACACCACCCCGGGCATTAACAGCATCTGTGATGCTTTTCCACACACCTGCCTTCTTGGCATTTGTTATTTGATTAGTTTGTTTCGACTGAATAACATCTATATTCTCTTCAACCTTACTTATAATGAACAAAACATCATCAGTAGAGAAATTTTCACTTCTCTTTTTGGCAGCCATTGTTGACAGATGGACAAAGTATATTGCATTATGGGATACTATCCACTGGTTAAGTCATGCTAACCAATGGATAGTTAGCCTATGAACTAATTGCCCTTTGAGCAACAGAAATTTGACCAGTGGTTAAGTAGCCAATGGAAAATAAATTTGACCAATGGTTAGCTTAACCAGTGGTTAAATTTAACCAGAGTTTTGAGCAACCCAATCCAGGTCTCTGAGGACTACAAAAAATGTTGTCAATGATGATTTTCTTCATCCTTTAAAATCAAATTCTAAGTACTTTTGTTTTGAACTAGAGTGATTTTAAAGTAATTTTCTTGATGACCAGTCATTTGATACGGAAATGTCCGGGGTCCATTTTTACTGAGGAAAACGTCAACGATATGAAGAATTTTGTTTAATCGTAAGGAACAGTTCTATAAAGTGAAGAAGAGTCGTAGGTCTTGATGTAATTGTCTTTTTAAAAAAGGTGATTTAAATTTTTTAAAAGTTCCTGGAGTTTTTTGGGAATCCATGCACGTCTGATTTTCACCACCTCTAGAATATGCTGTAGCACAGTACCTTTACAGCAGTTAATATTTCTTAGGGATTATCAATGAAAAGGAACAAACCAATATCCAGTTGTACCTAACAGCTTCATGAAATATGAAGATGACCAACACTAAACAATCACAAATGTCCATTAGAACAATCTACATCTACACAAACATGGTTTTCCGAGCTGTGTAGCGAAGAGAAAACAGCCTTAAGCAGGAACATACGTATACAGGTATTTCTCTATCTCTCTAAGTTCAAGGGACCGTAGGAAAAGTTCGAGAGATCGGGGGGTTCGAGAGATAGAATGTGAATAAAATCCGGAATTTTCAGTTTTGATCATCATTGTTCTAGTATTATACACACCGGAAGTATATGTTGATAATGTCATTACACGTTTTCATTCGTAATTTACAGGTTTAAGGTATTCACTTGATTTCAACATCAATGATCGTATTTTGAATAAATAAAATGAGTATTTAAAGTTTCAATATTTATTTGTTTTCATTCCATGATTACATGAAATCTGAATAGCAATTATCGATTTGACTATTCCCCGGGCTTGATCGGTCCTTCAAATGACTGCTCGTAATCGGTATACAATTCCTGAGATAGGAATACATGTGCACTGTTTGCCAAACTGGGATTGTGTAGACTCTAATATAATATTAAAGTTCATAATCTATGGAAAATTACTGACACGTCCCTAAATTATTTTTTCAAAATTATCGTCTCGTCCATTCAAAAAAAGTTGTGAAGCGATTTGTTTATAATTTACCAATTAATTATATCAACACTCGGACGACTCACAGGTGTAGTATCATCTAAATAAACACCCAATTAACACGTTCATACCAGCCCCAGGCGTTCAATGTTGTCAGGTAAGTGCATGCTGCATTAATTTTACGCTTGATTGACGTGTAAACATGCGCAATCAAAACTTCGAAAGATAGGGAGTAAAAATGTGTGTAACAGGACCTTGGTCTTGGTTTGAGAGATAGAGAACTTCGAGAGATCGGGAGTTCGAGATATCAGGAATAAATTTGCTTAGTTACATGTATATAGGGAGGAAAACGGGACTGGAGGTTCACTTCGAGAGATCGAGAGAGATCGGAGTTCGAGCCATCGAGAGTCACCTGTATAAAGATTGTTGTATAAAGATTGTTGGGGTACCGAGAAAACGAAAAGTGCCTGTGGGAAGAATTTTTTTTTTTCATCTGAATCTACAATTTTTAGAGGACAAGAGTATATGTCTGGAGCAAAGGGTGAGAAAATTGAGGCCTGATTTGTGACTAAGTGCAGTAAAAATCATATTTTAAGATTATGATTTGGTGGAGTTTTTCTTAAAATTGGAGGGGTGTCAACAGGTTCGTAAAGAAAACATAAACTCTGACATATACAGATATATTTTCACAACAAACTATGAACCGTTTTTGTAAAGAACTTGCCCTTTTCCATCTAGTGATTACCTACTCTCGGACAAACATGATCAGTACCTCGTGCGCAATCTACTAAGGCATTAAAGGAATAATATGTTTGGAATTTTCTAGTCTGTTTAAAGTCCAAATATTAATATCATTGAAAACCTGTGGTTGCTGATCAGATAAAGCTATAGAAACGTAGAGATGATGTCACCGTGCATGTGGTTTGAGAGGACGGCTTCGATCCAAGTGGTTCCGGGTTCAAGTTCGAGTTAGGTTGCTAGAACTCACTGTAACCTTGGACAAGCTGCTGTACTCTATCGCCGTATACATGGCAGCTCTACATGTATAGCACCTGGGGGCTGATGACGCTATGGATAGTAGTTTCTTCGGAGGGTAAATTGTAGAAATCGAGCAGGTAAATTTACTTTGAAGGCAACATTTTAAACCCTACCTTTACCTATGAAAGTTTAGTGGATTGCGAGTAAAGATGATCTTTTTTTTGCGAAATCCAGTGAATTGTGGACAGAAATCAGCCCAGACTTATTCAATTGTATTAAATGCCGCTAACGCTCGGTTCCTTGCATGCGAGTAGAAAAAAAACTAGTATCTCACAATGTACTTATATGTAGTAAGTACATTAGTTATCTGGTTTTTTGTAATGAATTGTTAATGTTCGAAAATTCGCCTAATTTCATACGGAATGTAAACACGCCACCGTCCAAATTTACACTGTATCATACTGAGCATGCAAAACAAAATAAAGGATAGCATTTTATAGTCATTTGTATCATAAAAAATATCAACGATGAATAATAATCAAACATATATACTGATGAAAATAAAGGTTTCAAAAATAAGCAAACTGAGGAAATCCCTTTATTCTTATAGAAAAAGGACAGACGGTTTGTATAATATTGAAATAGAAATTGAAATTAATAATTAAGAATAATTTAGTTTTTGATTTTAATAAAATAAAACTTTACATTTATATCTCAAAAACAAATATAGCCTGAAAACGTTTTGAAAACAAAATTCTTTAAACATTTCAGTTTCGAGACAAAGAGGCCGATTTGCAGGATTTTCTATCTATCTATCGAATTCTACAGAGAAAGAGGCTGGATACCTTTGTTATAAAAACAGACTCCAACTGCCCCCTTTAAATTTCACAACAAGTTGTATAGGACATGGCCAATACGTTATCTATTATAATGAAAGATCGGAAAATGACTCTGAAGAATATGAAAGTGTATCATACACCGAGTTGTGTGAGGTAATAGTGCAAGGTAAGGTCAGAAAAATGCAGATGAGCCTACCCTAACAAAAAGGACAATAGTATACAATAGTTTACTATAGATATAGTATCAAAATTTTCACTACGTAAATCAAAGTTTTTCTACTGTAAATCATAATATTTTTAATATTAATTTCAGCCTGTTATATTTTATTTGTTTAAATAACTTTTATCAATCTTCTTGCAATAAAAGGAAATATTACTTGTATATTTACAAATCATTCTAAAAGAATTTCATCAATGGTATGTAATTTAAAAGAAAAATATTAGGTCAGGGATCGAAATTAACTTTTTTGACCACAAGCAAATTTTAGCTAGTGGAATTTTTTTCACTAGCAATATTGAACTTTCACTACCATTTTTTCTTCTTATAGTAATTATCACTGGAATTAATTATTTGAATAATTTCATAAAAACTAATTTACACTTTGTGAGTTAATTTAGGTCATTTTATACAGGATGAAAACTGAACGGATACAGGGGGTGTGCAATTAAAAAATTCAAGCACTAGCCCACAGACTAGGGGCAGCAATAAAATCACTAGCCCCAAGTAAAAAGTTACTAGCTCAAACATGGGGGGGGGGAGTAATTAAGAACTAACAATGGGAGAAAAATAGTTTTTCACTGAAAAAGTCAGGATCTTCAGTCATTCTTTTTAAAATTAAAGTTTAATTCTCACTAGAAAAAAATGAATCGTATATAAATCAATAATTATGATTGAAAATAAAAAAAAATTAAAAATAAAATATCTTCCTTTTTTCTGGTCATTGCACTAGCTCATTTAAATTGAAGCGAAAATCTTCTTTTTTTCATCTTAACGCTGGAAATATATTTTTTTGAAAATCAAATAACATTTTTTCTCTTGTTGATTAAGTGATCGTGCACGTAAATAATTGAATGGGATATCTACATGTATTTACCATAAACAAAAAATGGAGGAAATTCGGATTAGGAAAAAAACGATCGTTTTTGGAAGTAAATGAGTCAGGTAGTACTGCAAATGGATAAGATTATGGAGATTTACGAACTATAGGAGCATGCTACCTGGATATTTTTCATTGTTTGGGAATTTAATAGCACCAAAAAAAAAATGAATAAAAGTACCTGTGGTGCTTTTCATGTACAGTGTATTACATGGGTAATTTTAATTTTTGCTAGCCTTAGGGGCTACCTCTGTGTATTAAATCTAGCCAGACCCCCAAAAATGGTAGCCATGGGCGTGAAGGCAATGCTAATTGCACATCACTGGAAAACACAAAAAACCCGAAAAGACCGGTTTTTTTGCTCGCAAAAGTCGGCGACCACAGGTCGATTTTAACTCGCAATTTCTGTTTCTAATTCGCATTTAGCGAGTATTTCCATTAATTTCGACCCCCGTTAGGTATCAAAATCTTCAAAAAAGCTCTAGATTTTAAGTTTCATGGTAAATCAGATTATCAAAGTATTTACCATAGTTGAATATAGTAAACTATTGTTATCTATAGTAAAGTTTTGTTAGGGTATATTTTACTGGTGGGAATTCTTATATATGATATTAAATAATTCTAATAATATAATATAAAATAAGGAATTGCAAAAAAAAAATACCTGGCATGCAACTTCATGTTCATGTAGACAGTATACATGTAGTACTCACAACTATCATTTATTAAAATAAATAAAAGCTGTGTTCTCATTCGTCTTTCATAACATCCAAACAATTAACTTCTTCCTTTAAAACATCAAAACCAATGGAAAATATAAATTTGTTTTTCGTTTTTTTAGATTGAGATAATTAAGAATTCGTGAAAATTTTGTGGCATCTTTTTAAAATCTTCTTCTCAAGAACCAGGGGGCAAGAAAAGATGAAATTATGTGAAAACTTCATTATATACTCTAGATTCAAGTTTGTTCATAGCATAACCCCCTGGGGTAGGGTAGGCCGCAAGAGGGGGCCGAAGTCTTACTATACATAGGAATATATAGGAAATGTCTTTAAAAACCTTCTTCTCGAGAAAAGCAAAGCCATGATTAATCATTTTATAATAGAAGTATCCTCAGGTACTACAGATTCAAGTTGGTTCAAATCATGACCCCTGGGGGTTGGGCGCAGACACAACAGGAGACCAAAGTTTTACCTAAGAATATATGGGAAATATCTTTAAGAATTTTCTTTAAGAACAGCTAAGCCGTTTTTAGTCTTACTAATACAGAATTAATCTCTGGTAGTGTAGATTCAAGTTTGTTCAAATCATGACCCCTGGGGATAGGCAGGGGCCACAACAGTGGGTCAAAGTTTTACATAGGAATATATAGGTGTAATGGTTATGGGGTATTTTTGTAAAGCGCATTGAAGACCTCAGAAAGTGGAATGATCTGACAACCCTTGGAATGGACTAGCCAAAGGGTATATAAAACGCAAGGCTTTGGGAAAGTCAGGCATTGAGAAGCTAGGAGAAGAAGCTGGCTATTAATCAGCAATAAAGAAGTTAAGGGTAATAGCAAAATGACAGTATTAAAGTTATATGCTCAAGTGGCAAGAATCCAAAGGAACTGATGTTAAGTTCTGGGTGTAGTAAATCTGAAGAACATCAAGACACCCGGCTCTTATCTATCAATAGGAACCTCGGGGAGAAACACGGTGTAAATATTGCATTACCCAGTCCCCGTCTCTAGATAAGAGAAAAATTTTATTACTGTGTGATTTACCTCATACAGAGCAGTCTTGATAATCACTCCAATCATTAACTCAGACAGAGTAAAAAGTATCCCTTGTAAGAACCTGATCATACACTTTACATAGGAAATATCCTTAACAAGAGGCCCAAGGGTCTAGAATCCTTCTTCAGAAAAATTGTACAACCTATTTCTTCTATTTTAAGCCTCCTGGAAACCTATATATAAGGATAAAGCTTTGAAATTACAACAGTAAGTCAGCATGACCTGCATTTTGATTAACACACTCTGAAAACCCAAGATGCATCAACTGACAAAGTTTGTTGATTCTGAGCCCTTTATTTTCTTAAATATTCAGATAGCCATAAAATGCCAAAAGAAGGTCAAAGTGACCTACTTTTTGGTTAATATAATCTGAGACCCCAAGTCGTATCAACTGACAAAGCTAGATGATTCTATGCCTTTTATTTGCAAAATTTATTTATCAACTAAATTCCAGAAGTAGGTCACAGTGGCCTACCTTTTAGTTGACACATTCTGAGGACCAAAGATACATCAATTAACACAAAGTTTGTTGGATCTAAGCCAATCAGTATCGGAAATATTGAAATATAGCCATAAAATTAAAGAGCTCACAGTGACCAACTTTTTGGTTGTAATACTCCAAAGAACTAAGACGCACCAACTGATTTTGATGATTCTTAGCCTCTAAATATTTGAAATACTTAGGTGCTGTCTCGTTATTCCAAAAGTAAGTTACAGTGACCTACGTTTTAATTGATACATTCTGAGGACCACAGATCCATCTCCTGAAAAAAAATTGATTGGTTCTAAGCCAATTCGTATCTGAAATATTGAAATAAAGCCATGAAATTCAAGAAAGTAGGTCACAGTGACCTACTTTTTTGCAACACACTCCCAGGACCCAAGATGCATCAACTGAAAAAAGTGTAAAGATTCTAAACTATTAAGTATCCGTTATACGGAAATATAGTGATGAAATTCCAAAAGTGCGTCAAGGTCACCTACTTTTTGGTTGACACACTTTGGGGACCCCAACTGACAAAGTTTAATTATTTTAAGCCAATTACTATCTAAAATAGCCATCAAATTCCAAAAGTAGGTCACGGTGACCTCCTGTTTAGTTGAGACACTCAGAGGACCCAAAATGTATCAACTCACAAACTTTGATGGTTCTTAGCCAATTACTAACTAAAATAGCCATCAAATTAAAAAAAAAAGGTCACAATGACTTACTTTTTAGTTGAGAAATCCCAGGGACCCAAGATTTATCGACTAAGAAAGTCTGATATTTCCAAGCCATTTAGCATCTGAAATATTTAAATTTAGCCAGGGAATTGCAAAAGTAAGTCATTTTGGTTTGATACACTCCGAGGACTTAGGGTGCATCAACTGACAAAGTTTGATGATTAGTAAATTAGTAACTGAAAAAGATATAAAATTCCAAAAGTAATGGTGACCTAATTTTTAGTTGACATACTTTGAGGACCAAAGATGCATGTACTAACAAAGATTGATGATTCTAAGCCAGTTAGTATCTAAATTAGCCATGAAATTGCAAAAGTAGGTGACTTACTTTCTTGTTGACACAGTTTGAGGACCCAAGATGCATCAACTCACAATAAGCATCTATAGTTTTGAAAAATATCTACAAAATTTCAAAAGAAGGTCACAGTGATCTTTTTTTGGTTGACACACGCCGGAGATCCATAATGCCTCAATTGACAAAGTTTGATAATTCCAAGCCAATTAGTATCTGAAATATTTAAATTAAGCCATGGAATTGCAAGTGTAGGTCAAGGTGACATTTCTTTTTGGTTGATACACTCCGGAGTCCCAAGATGCATCAAGTGACAAAGTTTGATGATCCTATATTTTAAATTGTCCAAAATATGCCTCTAAAACCATTTGAAAATGAAAACTTGTATAAATCAAAAAGTAGGTCACTGTGACCTACTCTTTGATAATATGTTTTAAGGCCCCAAGGTGCATCAACTTACAAGGTTTGATAATTCTAATCCTTTTAGTATCTGAAGTAATGACTTTTAATGATTAGAAAATTATTAGCCATAAAATTCAGAGAGTAGGTCAGGGTGACCTAATTTTAGTTGACACTCTTTAAGGTCTCATGATGAATAAACTGACAAGTTTTGATGAATATAGGCTTCAAAGTTATGCATCAAAATCAAACAAAATGAATACCTGCAAAATTTAAAAAATAGGTCCCTGTTACCGACTTTTGAGTCAACATGATATGAAGTCCTAAAATACATCAACTGACAAGATTTGATGATTTAGCAAAACATAATTTTTGGTCAAATTTGAAGTGACCTTGAGACCACGCCATTTGTCTCAGGGTGATGCCTTGAACAACTTTAATCTACAACATATCCTCATCCTTGTATGTAAGTTTGGTGATAATCTGTCCGGTGGTTCTTGAGGAGAAGATTTTTTTGCTACATCCACTACTCTTGTTTTTATTTCCCTAATTATCTCTCCTTGTTTAAGGGATGCATACCTAGTTTTAGCACACATGAAAGCCCTTGGGCCAAGGATACTCTGTGATAAATTTGAAGAAAAAAATTGAATAAGAGGTTTATTGAGATATGGCCCATTTCTCAAAATGTTAACGCACACCGCACAAATGGCCATAGCATTAGCTTTTTGAGCCTTTGGCTCAGAAGAGCTAAAAATCCTCTTTTCAAGAACAGCAAAGTCATGTTAAGTCATAGCATTATAGAAGTATCCTCAGTGTAGATTCAAATTTAGGGTAGGTAGGATGGGGCATCAATGAGCAATTAGACTTTTACATAGGAATACATAAGGGGAAAAAATCTTTTCTGCTCAAGAACATCAAAGCCATGGTTGGTAATATTCATATGGAAGCATCCTGAGGTAGTGTAAATTTAAGCCCCCCCCCCCCACCCCCGATAAACTATTCAATACTGAACTGATTTCTGCTTTTTCCTAGCCAATGTGCTCATGTGAGCGATTTGGCCCATGGGCCTTTTGTTTCTTACCAAATTTAAGTGGATTTTATTTATTTATTTATTTATTAATAAAACATTACATGCACACATACGTTACTTATCCCCTTCGACGCTAATGCATTTTGTATTACTTATGATAGAGATTAACCCTTCTTCAAATTAGAAATAAGAAAAAAATATTAACTGCGAAGTACACGCTAGACTAAAACCCCTTATTTGCCCCTGGTAAGGAGTGTCCCTAAGAACGATTCAATAATTCAAATAAAGAAATCTACTGTTATCCCTGTTACAAATAACGCATTGATTCTAATTAATGAGATATACAACGTCATGAAAGCTTATCAGATACGCCATGAAAATCCTAGCCTGGCCCTCAATATCCCCCCTCCCCGGGATTTTAGACCCACGTATTGTAATATTGTAAATTAAGCGAAAACTTAATTGACAAAACCGGTGAAGATAACTACAAAAATCAAGGATATTTAACAATTAATTATTGAAAATCTTTTTCAGGTTGTGACAAAAATGTTTTTGGAGTTGACTGTGACCAAAGCTGTCCAGTTAACTGTCTAGAACAGAGATGTCACATAGTTAACGGAAGTTGCCTTGGGTGTAGGCTAGGGTGGAAAGGAGACACGTGTGAAAATAGTGCGTACGGTACAAATGTGTAATATTTGTACTTGTTTAAGCAAAAATTATCCTCTTGACACATTAAAAATATATTTTTTTTCTTCATATTCATAGTTCTAAAGGTATATTTCTTTTTTTAATTAAGAGCATTGTAAATATTAAAAAAAAACAAGTAGTCATTTTTACAACATATGTTTTTTCTTAATATGTGGAGAAGTTATGCAATGCAACAAAACCTTGATATCCATCCATGAAAAAATTTTACAACAAAAGGACTTTCGTTTCTTCTGTTAAATCTTAAAAAACATACTTTGTGAATTAAATGAAGTCAATTTTCACTATGAAACCATGGTTTTTTTTTTTCAAATCAGACGAAATAAGCACCAATGTTATTTAAATTCTACATCACAATATTCTTTCTACATAATGGGACGAACGTTTGATTCTCAAGTGGGGGGGGGGAGGGGGAGGGGAGGGGCTGGTAGATTTTGGAGATAAATAATATGTCCTCAAAATGTTGAAAATAAATAAAAATAAATAATCTGCAAATATTACAATATAAATATTTCAGCTCTTGCAGACAAAATACCTAACTTTGTGTATTTTATATTTTGCAAATGCTGCAACATTAATTCCAATTCTAACAAAGGAAGAAAGACATTTTATTGTTTATATTTATTTCTATATAAATAAGCATCTAAAGTAGGATTAATTAGGTTAAATATTGTTATTGTATTATTGAAAATGTACGTTATTGTACGCTTTACTGATGGAAGCGACATTGCTCAAGAAATCTATACAGGGTGGTATGCTTAGTGGCGTTATTTTTTGCTTGAAAAACAGTGTGTTCTTATGGATGGTATGGACCTGGTTGTATAAACAGATGTGTTGGACACTGCATAAACAACGCTACCTGTCATCGCGAGTTTGGCAGTTGTGTAGACGGCTGTGCCTCGGGATGGATGAAGCCCTTGTGTAACAAAGGTATTTTTTTATTGTTTGTTGGAAAATTTAAGCATATCAAAATGCATTCATATAACTTTTTTTTTAAAGATCAAACATTTATATACATGTATTTCTATATCACATCACACTGACATCACCTCGAAAGACAAGTACATGTATTTAAACTTATATTTTTTCCCTTATAAAATGATTTATGTGTAATATGTTTTTATAATTACTCTTACAACCGGTATCTATATCCCGATAGACTATTGAAACTTATTTTTTTGATATGTGTATCTTAAACATGTTTCCATTTACTTAATTACAGAGTGTAAAGTTGGAACATTTGGTCCAGGTTGTATTCAAAGTTGTAGTGGAAATTGTTTAAATAGTTTTTCCCTGCAACAAAACAACAGGCAATTGTGACTTGGGTTGTGGTGCTGGGTATAAAGGGCCTTTCTGTAACAGGAGTATGTACAAATGATCATGATATGAATTTATGTACAAATGCTTGATTGGTATTCATTCAGTTAATGTCAGATCTGTCAATTTCTCTATCTGAAAGAAAACATTAATATTGGATACATCGTTATAACAGCATGTCCTGTTGGAAAGTTCGGAATGCGATGCAAACAGACTTGCAGTGGTCATTGTTTAAATGACACAAAATGCAGTCATATAGATGGAAACTGCAAGAACGGTTGTGACAGTGGATATACGGGAAATAAATGCAACACACGTAAGAAATAATCTAGAAAATTTAGATCAATTTTTAGAGAAATTTCTAATTTGATCTCTTCATCAGAATTAACTTGTGATTTAATGGTTGTTACTAAAGCAAAAAGAACGGCGAAAAAATGCATATTGAAGTAAACTTTGAACTTGTTTCAGCATGTGAGCTGGGGTTCTTTGGTTCGAATTGCTCGCAAAAATGTTCCGCAAATTGCCTAACTGCTCACGTATGTAATAACACAGATGGGTGGTGTAAATGCTCCCCTGGCTGGGAAGGATCACCAAGCTGCAACAAAAGTAATATTCTATTACATAGTATTTTTAAAATTGCTGTTTCAGTAGCCTCACATAGTACCTTAATAATTGAAATTTTGGGATTCCTTTTTCATTTACTATAATAGGTCAAACTCCAAAGTCTAAGTTATGAGGTCGAAGATGATATGCCTGAAAAAGATCTTGCCAAAAGAAAAATACATATAGAATTAAAAAAGCCCTAGTTCGTGCCGTTTAAAAGTTTTGACAAAGGTTAAAATTTAAAAAATAATAGCAGAAAGAAATCCAGACTGCAAAAGGTCAAAAGTGTTTGTACCAATTTAAAAGAAACGATCTTGTCACAAGAAATACACATTAAGTACTTAACACTTATTTATTGGCCATTATCGTTTATAGTCAGTAAAATATCCAAAACAGCTGTGGCCGACTCAGTAATGTCTTTAATACAAGTTAGCAAGGATATATGAATGAAAGTACATGTAACTATTGTTAATTGATTTAACGTTGTCCGTATATCTAAATTTCGAAATGAAGGCAGAAAACAAAAGCTTCTTTTTTTCTCGTGTAGAAGAACGGCTTATTGGAAGATCTGGTCTCGAAAGACTACCTACAAATGAAGATATTTTCAATCATATACAATTTTCACTGTAAAAACGTAATCATCTTTTTAAATTTTTTTTTTTTTAATTTGCATTGTGAATAACACTGGAAACCCCTAAAAATTAAACTGATAATTACGTATGGACTACAAAGCTGAAATATGGTTAACTATAATATACATTTTGAAGCTTTGATATTCTGTTTTATTGGATTTAAAATTCTTAAGAAAACTACTTTTTGATAGTTCAGGGCTACAGTTCTTCTAGTTGTTTTTTTTACGATGACAACGAATAAAAAATGAACATTTGAATCTAAATGTATCTGTTATTTTTATGATATTGTCATTTTATACTGTACTTATTTCTGTCGTTTAATATGATTGAAACTATAAAACGTTATCTTTAAAAAACTTAATTCATAATAATTTATAACGATAAACTAATGAAATAAACTTTATGTTGTAAAAGTAATCAGCAAGAAATACTTAATTTAATACGGCGGGTGTAAGGGAATGCTACTCCTAGGCACCTTATCGAGCCTCTGAAATTTTCGGGGACCTATGTTTTATGCCTTGTTCACAGATTTGTATTGTTTTATTTTTTTTTTTAAATCAATCACTGTTCGTTATCTTCACCTTTTTTCATTTTGCAATTATACAATTTGTCGATGAATGGAGCTAATAGTGTATATTGGTGAGTTTAAATGAAATGATCAGCTAATTAGTATTTTTTTTAAAAAATCAACTAAACCTATTTTTCAATTATAACATCATACTGTATATCCCTTCTAGTAAAAAAATTCTTAAGTAACATTAAAAAAGAAAAAAAATCAGACATTTTATTACTAGATCTTCATTTGAAGAAAAAAATACTACATCGTTATAAAAAAAAAATGTACAATTTACATTCTGTCACAAAACGTTTTTGCACTCCTGACATTTTTAGCAACATTTTGGCATATTTTTTGTGGCTTAAGATGTCAATGCGATATTTAGCCAATATCAAAAGACATATGCTCATTTATAGAAATATCACTTGTATGTTTAGTTCAGGTTGATAAATATGTGTCCAGTATTTTTGCTGTTTTTGTATTGTTTGTGTGTGTGTGTGTGTGTGTGTGTGTGTGTGTGTGTGTGTGTGTTGTTTTTTTTTTTATTCACACATATCATTCCTTTTTAAAACCTTCATTTATCGTTAGAGACACCAAAACAATACATCCTAATTTATTTCTTTTGATTTTATACCCGACAACCATTTTTTTTATTCCGCAGTATATAGTACTTGTGTTTTAGTTTATCATTAGACTAATCTCAAGACCTCACACTGCGATGAAGTGAAATGAATGAATTTCCAAAATTTTTACTTACGTTGAATTTCAAGATATTCCTTTTAAATTAGTATTTTCGATTTCTTTGGGTTTTTTTTTTTTACATTATAAATATATTTGCTTCAATTTTAGATTGTGACCTTGGATTTTACGGTGAAAATTGTCAGCTACGCTGCAGTGCAAATTGTGTCAATCGTACATGTAATATCACTGATGGTAGTTGTTTGACTAGATACATTAATATACATAAGTGTGAAATGGGTGAGTTTGTTTTCTACTCTATAAATTCAAAGTATTAAATTACTTGTACTTTATTCAAATAGAAAAAAACATTCTGTAGATATTTGGAAAGGCTTGGAACTCGCCTGTCAAGTTTATGGCATCGTATGAATGTTGTGGAGGGAGAAGAATTTTCCCTCCAAACATAAAGCGAGACGGAAGGCAACGAAACTTAATAATGCATAAGCTTTTCTGGTATTTGATTAGAGGATCTTATGAAAACAAGACGTGTTTGTGAAACACTGATGCCCCCGTATGACAACTTATAGCAAAGGTTTAAACTTTCTCAAATGCAAAATAAATATGTTGGTACCCAAAGTAAGGTCTTGTCTGGAGGATTATACCTGTGAAATATGAAAGCCCTAGAAGCAACCATTGAATAGATATGGAAAAGGTTAGTTTTTCAAAAGTAAGTCAAACATCAAGGTCAATGTCAAATGGTCAAAATTAATGGTGCCTAAGGAAAGGCCTTCTCACAAGAAATATACTGGTGAAATATGAAAGCTGAAGCACCAATTGTTCAAAAGTTATGACCAAGGTTAAGTTTTTCAAAAGTAGGTCAAACTCCAAGGTCAATGGATTACAATTGTTGGTATCCAAAAGAAGGTCTTGTCAAAAGGATTCCATATGTGAAGTATGAAAGCCCTAGCACCAACAGTTCAAACGTTTTGGCCAAGGTTAAAGTTTTTTAAAAGTAGGTCAAACTCCAAGGTCAAGGTCGAATGGTAAAAGTTGTTGGTATCCGAAGGAAGATCTTGTCACAAAAATTACACATGTGAAATATGAAAGCCCTAGCACCAACGGTTCACAAGTTATGGCCAATGTTAAAGTTTTTCAAAAGTAGGTCAAACTCCAAGGTCAAAGTCAAAGGGTCAAAATTGTTGGCATTTAAAGGAAGGACTTGTCACAAGGATTACATACGTGAAGTATGAAAGCCCTAGCACCAACAATTCAATACTTATGGCCAAGGTTAAAGTTTTTCTTAAAAAGTAGATCAAACTCCAAGGTTAAAGGGTCAAAGTTGTTGGATTCCAAAGGAAGATCTTGTCATAAGGAATACATGTACATGTGTGAAATATGAAAGCCTTAGGCACCAACCGTTCAAAAGATATGACCAATGTTAAAGTTTTTTAAAAGTAGGTCAAACTCCAAGGTCAAGGGGTCAAAGTTGTTGGTATCCAAGGAAAGGTCTTGTCACAAGAATTACACATGTGAAGTATGAAAGCCCTAGCACCAATTGTTCAAAAGTTATGGCCAAGGTTAAAGTTGGGTAAAATTTAAACTGGGTCAAACTCCAAGGTCAAGGTCTAAAAGTCAAATACGGTGGTACCCAAAGAAAGGTCTTGTCACAAGGAATACACATGTGAAATATGAAAGCCATAGCTCCAACCAATCAAAAGTTATGAGCAATGTTAAAGTTTTTGCGGACAAACAGACAGACAGAAAGACGGACGGACAGGGCAAAAACTATATACCCCCGAATCTTCGATAAAAAAGATAAAAATGTAGCTTATATTTTATATATAATCCTATACTGTTTGTTTTTGCTACATATCATTTTTACCTAAGAGCAATAAGAAAAACTAAAAGTTTACATGTTTGCAACCGTGGAACTTTTAGATCACAGAAGAGGGGGAATATTAGATCATTTCTTCAACATACAGTTGAGTTTTATGATGCTTCACTACATACGACATTCTCTGGTAAATCCAGAATTGTATAGATTTTTTTTACGTAATGTTTTCAGGCATAAACTTCAGTAAGATTGTTTTTCATTGTTCCACAAATCGACGTTGATGACACATTTTTACAAAGAATCCAATGTATAGAAGTAGTATGCATCCTTAAATCCTTACTAAAATGAGATAATTGTTCAAAGTTTGCACTTTTTAAAATTCAGCTTAAGGGCAAGTCACTATTTGCCGCTATAACCTTTTTCTTAGATCTGATACTTAACTGTAAATACGAGTTTTTCTCTGTACTTGATCTGGCTGAAACGCGTACGTTCTATCTAAAAAAGACGAGAATGAATGACTCGGTATTTGCCTTCGTTGTATTTGACTAACTGGTGGATCATCATTAGATTCAGTAAATATATAAATATAGCTTTATTCTTATAAGTTATACCAAATATTTGTTAAGTTTTCTTACCGTGGGGCATAAGTGCAATTTATGTCACTCCTCAACGGTCAAAATCAGTGATTTAAAATTGCCCTGACAAATATCAAAAGACATAATTAAAATGTTATTCAAACAATATTTATATTTGCAAATCTAGTTCATCATGATCATGATTCGAAGTTTTGTCTCAAACGGGTATTTATTTGTAATTTGACGTACCAACATCTACAAGAAGCCCATGGGCCACATCGCTCACCTGAACACATTGGTTAGGCAAAAGCACAAATCAGTTCAGTATTGAAATGATTACTGGGGGAAGGGGGGGGTTCTTGAATTTTAAACTACCTGATGATGCTTCCATGTCATTATAACAAATGGCTCTGTTGTATTTGAGAAGATATTTTTAAAAAAATTTCCATATATTCCTTTGTAAAAATTTGATCCCCCATTGTGGCTCCTCCCTATCCCAGGGGTGATCATTTGAACAAACTTGAATCTACACTACCTGAGGATGCTTCCATATCAATATGACTAAACATAGCTTTTCTGTTCTTGAGAAGAAATATTTTCTCTATATGTTCTTATGTAAAACTTTTGATCCCCCATTGTGGCCCCACCCTACCCCCTGGGGTCATGATTTGAACAAACTTGAATCTACACTACCTGAGAATGCTTCCATATTAATATAACTCATCATGGATTTGCTGTTCTTGAGAAGAAGATTTTTAAAGGTTTTTTTCCTATATATTTCTATGTAAAAGTTTGATCCTCCATTGTGGCCCCGCCCTACCCTTTGGGGTCATGATTTGAACAAACTTGAATCTACACTACCTGAGGATGCTTCCATATAAATATGATTTATCATGGCTTTGCTGTTCTTGAGAAGAAGTTTTTTTAAAGATTTTTCCTATATATTTGTATGTAAAAGTTTGAGCCTCCATTTTGGACCCGCCCTATCCCCGGGGGTCATGATTTGAACAAATTTGAATCTACACTATCTGAGGATGCTTCCATATAAATATGACTTATCATGGCTTTGCTGTTTTTGAGAAGAAGATTTTTAAAGATTTTTCCTATATATTTGTATGTAAAAGTTTGATCCCCCATTGTGGCCCCGCCCTATCCCCGGGGATCATGATTTGAACAAACTTGAATCTACACTACCTGAGGATGCTTCCATATAAATATGACATCATGGCTTTGCTGTTTTTGAGAAAAAAGATTTTAAAAGATTTTTCCTATATATTTCTATGTAAAAATTAGATCCTCCATTGTGACCCCGCCCTACCCCCGGGGGTCATGATTTGAACATACTTGGATCTACACTACCTTAGGATGCTTCCATATAATTTTGACTTAACATGGCTTTGCTGTTCTTGAGAAGAAGATTTTTAAAGATTTTTCCTATATATTTGTATGTAAAAATTAGATCCTCCATTGTGGCCCCGCCCTATCCCCGGGGGTCATGATTTGAACAAATTTGAATCTACACTATCTGAGGATGCTTCCATATAAATATGACTTATCATGGCTTTGCTGTTTTTGAGAAGAAGATTTTTAAAGATTTTTCCTATATATTTGTATGTAAAAGTTTGATCCCCCATTGTGGCCCCGCCCTACCCCCGGGGATCATGATTTGAACAAACTTGAAATTACACTACCTGAGGAGGCTTCCATATAAATATGATTTATCATGGCTTTGCTGTTTTTGAGAAAAAAGATTTTAAAAGATTTTTCCTATATATTTGTATGTAAAAATTAGATCCTCCATTGTGGCCCCGCCCTATCCCCGGGGGTCATGATTTGAACAAATTTGAATCTACACTATCTGAGGATGCTTCCATATAAATATGACTTATCATGGCTTTGCTGTTTTTGAGAAGAAGATTTTTAAAGATTTTTCCTATATATTTGTATGTAAAAATTAGATCCTCCATTGTGGCCCCGCCCTATCCCCGGGGGTCATGATTTGAACAAATTTGAATCTACACTACCTGAGGATGCTTCCACATGTGTTTCATCTTTCCTGGCCTTGTGGTTCTTGAGAAGAAGATTTTTAAAAGATGCTATTAATTTTTCACTAATTCTTTATTATCTCCCCTTGAAAGAGGGCGTGGCCCTTCATTTGAACAAACCTGAATCCTCTTTATCCAAGGATACTTTGTGGCAAGTTTGGTTGAAATTGGCCCAGTGGTTCTTGAGAAAAAGTCGAAAATGTTAAAAGTTTACAGACAGACAGACAGACGGACAAACAGACAGACGGACAGACAGACAGACGGACGCCGGACAAAAAGTGATCAGAAAAGCTCACTTGAGCCTTCGGCTCAGGTGAGCTAATAAAGCCGTATATGAAAATAATAAATATCAATAGCAATTAACAATTCAGTGGATCCCAAAGTAACTGATCATGTACATTCCCTCTTGTGTTTAATGCTTTATAATCTCTGGGAAATGTTTTAATTCATAGGAGGAGGAACCTGTTTACCGGTATCCGATGCGCAATCATCCAGCGCTCTGACTGTGAGTAGCGTTTTGGGAGCATTTGCTGCTGTTATCATTATTGCTGTGTCGACAATCGTATATTTTAGGTACGTACTTTTATCAAATTCCCTTGTGTTTTTTCTTTTTTTCTTTTTTCATAGATTCCATTATTCTCCGTAAATGTGCTCCAAAATATGAGTTTTGTAAATCTAAAATATGTTAGTTAATACACTTGTAAGAAAGCGTAGTTTTGCTATACATTATATTCTTATGATGAAATGTTTCAATGAGTTTTTCTTTTCTTTTATTTAATTTATTTAATTTCCTTTTTTTATACTTAAAAATATACATGTTTATGTTTTCGTAAATAACTTGCATTTTTTTTCCTGTAGATTGAGAAGGAAAATGAACGAAAGAGCAATGATAAATACTACGGAAAATAATGTTTCTGTCATTGAGCTACGACAAACAAAAACGCCTAAAAAGTGTAAATAAGCTTTGCACTCCAATTTTTAAGCTACAAAATATCTTCGTATAAATGCACGTGTTTACATTTTTTACTGTCCTAGGGTATTTATGCCCCCGTATCGAAGACTCAGGGAAATATAGTTTTTGCCCTGTCCGTCCGTCTGTCTGTCTGTTTGTCTGTTTGTCCACAAAAACTGTAACATTACCCATAACTTTTGATTGGTTGGAGCTATGGCTTTCATATTTCACATGTGTATTCCTTGTGACAAGACCTTTCTTTGGGTACCACCATATTTGACCTTTTGAACTTGGAGTTTTACCCAGTTTTGCAAAATTTTACCCAACTTTAACCTTGGCCATAACTTTTCAACAATTGGTGCTAGGGCTTCCATACTTCACATGTGTAATTTTTGTGACAAGACCTTTCTTTGGATACCAACAACTTTGACCCTTTGACCTTGACCTTGGAGTTTGACCTAATTTTATAAAAACTTTAACCTTGGCCATAACTATTGAACCGTCGGTGCTAGGGCTTTCATACTTCACATATGTAATCCCTGTGACAAGACCTTCCTTTGGATACCCACAACTTTGACCTTGACTTGGAGTTTGACCTACTTTTGTAAAACTTTAACTTTGGTCATGTCTTTTGAACCGTTGGTGCTAGAGCTTTCATACTTCACATATGTAATCCTTGTGACAAGACCTTCCTTTGGACACCAACAACTTTGACCCTTTGACCTTGACCTTGGAGTTTGACTTACTTTTGGAAAACTTTAACCTTGGTCATAACGTTTTAACTGTTGGTGCTAGGGCTTTCATACTTCACATATGTAATCCTTTTGACAAGACCTTCCTTTGATACCAACAATTGTAATCCATTGACCTTGACCTTGGAGTTTGACCTACTGTTGAAAAACTTAAACCTTGGTCTTAACTTTTGAACAATTGGTGCTTCAGCTTTCATATTTCACCAGTATATTTCTTGTGAGAAGGCCTTTCCTTAGACACCATTAATTTTGACCATTTGACCTTGACCTTGATGTTTGTCTTACTTTCGAAAAACTTTAACCTTTTCCATATCTATTCAATGGTTGCTTCTAGGGCTTTCATATTTCACAAGTATATTCCTCGAGACAAAACCTTACTTTGGGTACCAACATATTTGATTTGCATTTGAGAAAGTTTAACCTTTGCTATAAGTTGTCATACGGGGGCATCAGTGTTTCACAAACACATCTTGTTCTTTTTGTTTTTTGGAACAAAACGTACCTGAAGTCTGAAATCCCCAAAGCTTACAATAGGAGACTGATTCAACAATCTTATGTATTTCAGACTTTATTAATTTAGATTAAAGACCTTTCCCTCCCTGAAACTAGACATTTCTCTCAGCAGAAAACATTATAATCTGGGGGTAAAACATCAGATATAGCGCTTTAAAATTAAATGAATTCACAGTGAGAACGAATGTGAAGGGTTAAATTGTGAGACTACTCACGGTGCTTTCTGTTTCATAATAGTTTTTTGCGGGGAAGGGGGGTGGTGCAAAACATGCCCTGTTTACATCTACCTTGTATTTGACAAAAAATTGTTATTTTTATTTTCAGTATTAACGTGTAACATGGAGAAGAATATGGATTTGCATAATGATAAATCCGCGGAAAATGATGTCAAGGAAGTAGTCAAGAGAGGTCCGCCGACTAATAAAGTCATTCCTGTAAAAAATCTGTATGCCATCATCGCCAAAATGTCTGCCACTGAGAACTCTGGTTTTAAACATGAATATCAAGTATGATAATATAAACTTACATTCAGTAAATCATCTTTTTTAATCATTTAAAATGCTCATGCAACTTTAATATTTAATTAAAATACAATTGTTTTCTAATGATTTCATGTATTCATGCTGAGACGTAAAGAATATATATTTGATAAGCGTGTATTAATATGGAAGTACCTACATTTGAAGGGTGTGGGGTGTTTCTTTAATTGAATAGGAAATTCCAAGAGGTGAACTGTTTCCATGTGAGGATGCGAAAAAACCTGAAAATAAACCTAAAAATAGATATACAACTACCTTTCCATGTAAGTTTCAAAATTAAAGTACACTTTAAGTTAACATATCTTTCTTTCTTAAAAAAAATCTTTTTTCTTTCGTTTTGTAGATGACCACTCGAGAGTTATTTTGAAAACTTCATCTTCTACGGAAAATGACTACATCAATGCCAATTATATCGAGGAAAGTATAATTTTAATTGTTGGCAAATAAAGTACTTAAATAAACAATACAATTTATATGTCAATAGATGTGCAGAAAGAGATTTTGTTACATACTTTCATCATATCATCCGCCGAAATATGTCTGAAATATTACCGACTCGGCGTAAAACATCAGTAATCAATCAATCAATCATCATATTACAGTGTAATAGCTAGATCTGAATCATCTTGGGTAGGCTTTTGGTAGAACTATTAATGGTAATACATTGTAGTTTGTCGATTAAAAACAAAGAAGCATAAAATATATTATCACCTATCTCATATTACATTACATTTATACGTTTTCGTTTCAACAGGATACACAGAGTAAACAGAATTATATTGCAACTCAAGGTACGTGGATTTTCCTTGTGAGTATCTCATGTAGAAAAACATGTATAAAAAATAATAATACATCAATTTATGAGAAATGTGTAAGAGATTTTTTTTTATTATTTCAAAAAATAATATTTACATTTAGTGTAATTTTCTTCGCGAAATCCATTAGAAATCTACGATGTTCAAATCTCTATAACACACGCGAAACCTTGCCACCACGCGGTAGAATACACAGTAGGAACTATATGCATTTTCAATATCTAGGAACACCAAAATGTATATTGTTTTGACTCAATTTAATAAAAAAAAAACCAACTTCCCTGTTAAATTAACGTAAAGTACAACAACTGAGAGTTTAAAATTAATTTTTCTTTTTTTCTCGCAATGTTCATTTGCGTTATTTAACTTTCCAACGTCATAAACGGCTCTTACGTCTATTAAGCACACCAGCTCTGAAAGGCGCTTAATTCATAATAAAGATTAACGAAATAAACAATTACAAAGAGAGAAAATAAGAGAATGTAAATTTAAGCGTTGAATTCTTATTTTTGGATGTCTTCGGTCCTATAACACACCTGGCCGTGCCGAGAAATTATCATACCGCGCTAACGCGCGATATTCAATTTGTCGGCACGGCCAGGTGTGTTATAGGACCGACGACAACCAAAAATTAGAATTCAATGCTTAATTAACATATTTTGCAGGCCCAAAACCAAAAACAGTTGTTGACTTCTGGCGGCTGGTGTGGCAGGAATGTGTATCCATTATTGTTTGTCTGACGAATCTTAAGGAAGGGAACAAAGTTTGTTTATTGCTGAGGAATAGTAACTTAATAACCACTATATATGATGTTGAGGCATTATGTTAAATTTTAATGCATTACGTTTCATGCGGGAGGAAAAGTAAATTACTTCCTTACTGTGTGAACGTGGAACAAATATATTCATTTCACAGCCATTCTATATACTCAATCATTTAAAGGAAGTATTTAAGGCCAGTTATGTATAGATAGAATTCAGCAAAATAAATCTACAGAATTATTTAACAAAAACAAATGGACACAGATAAACTCTATGAGAACCACAATATGAATGCTGAAAAGCATTTTTGCCATTTATATTATAGGCTGTATTTATTACGTCTAAACACAGTCTAATACCCCGTACAGCAAGTCAAAGAATGTGTATCTTATTGAATATCCCTACACTGTGGACATTTGATTTTAGTCCTTAAAACATATTCTTTGTTTTTAAATAAAAGTAATATACAGGGAAAATACCTAAATACCTTTGAACTTTTCTTCTGATCACATTTTGTCCGTCGTGCGTCTAGTTGTCGGTCCGTCCGTCCGTCTGTCTGTAGGCCTGTTAACTTTTCATATTTTTGATTTTTCTCCAGAACCACTGGGCCAATTTCAACCAAATTTGCTACATAGTATCTTTAGCTGAGGGGGATTCAAGTTTGTTCAGATGGAGGACCACGCTTTCTTTCAAAGGGACACAATTAAGCTTTAGTGAAAAATTAATTGCATCTTCTTAAAATCTTCTCCTTATGATCGACGGGGCCAGAAAAGATGAGACTTGAATGGAAGCTTCATTGCATAGTGTAGATTCAAGTTTGTTCAAATCATGACATCTGCGGGAAGGGTCGGGCCACAATAAAAGTTTTAGATAGAAATATATAGGATTATTCTTTTCAAAAATATTTTCAAGTACAGTCAAGCCATGATTGGTCATATTTAATATGGAAGCATCCTCAGGTAGTGTAGATTCAAGTTTTCTCAAAAATCATGACCCCTGGGGTAGCGTGGGGCCACAATGAGTCATCAACTTTTGACCTGGGAATATATAGGAAAATGCTTTGAAAAATCTTTTTTCTCAAGAACTTCAATGCCATGATTTGTCATATTAATATGGAAACATCCTTTGGTAGTGTAGATTCAGGTTGTTTAAATCATGACCCCTGGGTGTAGGGTGGGGCCTCAGGGGATCATCAACGTTTAACATAGGAATATATAGGAAAATTCTATAAAAATATTTTTCTCAAGAATAGCCAAGCCTTCATTGGTCATATTTATATGTAACCATCCTCAGGTAGTGTAGATTCAATTTTGTTTAAATCATGACCCCATGGGTAGGGCGGGCAACAATATGTGATTAAAGTTTTACATTGGAATAGATAGAGGAAAAGTCTATCAGCAGGGACGTTGTTACTCATGTGAGCGTTGTGACCCATGGGCATCTTGTTCTTAGGTCATACATCATAATAAACTCCTGTGGTCAACGAACCTCTTATTTCTGTTTTAGATAAAGTGTACTCAATATTGGCCGAACTTTAACGACAGAATGCAGCATGGTAACCTTATAATAAGAAACCTGGAAGAGAAAATATATGCTAATTACAAGACAAGACGCTTCAAAATACACAATAATTTGGTGAGAATTTAAAATGATATTCTAATATCAAATATTAATCATGTATTTCATTTAATTTCTGTTCTGCAACATCACTCATGCTAAATTTTAATGCTTAGTTGGCTGATCCTATTTCTTTTTTTTTCTTTTTTTTTTTTTTGTTATGTTTGCTAGGTATGATAGTGATGTTGACCATAATGTTATTTTATTTTTATGCCACCAGAGGTAGCATCTTTTCCCAAAAATGTTTGAGGAAGATGTATTAAGATTCAATATGGCAATCGTAGCAATACATTTTAAATATTCACAACCGGTTGTATGCATCATCGAGTTTTGAATATATATATTACCTGCATTTATGCAATAAATTAGCAAACCTTAATAATTTTACGAAAGTTTAAAGGCAGCACAGGGTGAAGTGCAATGTCTGTGTTGTAATTTAGTTGTTTATAATTCATTTTTTTGTATTCAGCAGTTAAACACTATGTGCATGTCCAAAAGCTTACAATAAGAAACAACTCATGATGGAGATTTTGTTTGATTAACTGACTAAATAATGGAGGCACCCTAGTAGAATGGTTTTTCGTTTCATGATCATTCACGGACAGTCCAAAACATTCTTAACATATGCAACATTTTCGCATACTTTTTTGCAGAACACACATACTTTAGAAATAAATGACAAAAGAAAATATAATAATCAAAAATTGAAAAAAAATGTCATTCTCAAAGCAAGCCAGTATATATAAATAAAATTAACATACCTATCTGAAACATTCTTCCATACCCAAAGCAATATCAGTATCACTTGGAGCTTTCATATTATTTCACCTGATCAACATGTTGATCTTTTGCTTTCATTTATAGAAATATCTTGTATAATGACGATGGTAAATCTGATACGACATGTATCCGCTGTTTGATTGGCCATTCCTTGATACGTATTAACCTTGATCATATTCGAATATCACCATTAGATTTATATAAAACAACTAATCAAACGATTTTGCATCAAAATTACCTGGTCAAAAGAACAATATAAAGGCTTGCAAATGTTATATATTCCCTGTTGAAGGGAAGATGCCAATTTACAATAAATGCGCATGCTCAGAACTAGTAAATGATTAAATGTCGAATGCAGATCGATGAAAAGTTTCTATTGATACATATAGAAATGTTTTGATCTCCCAGTGAATTCAATTATCTTGTACTTAAAATGTATCTTTTCCTACGATTTAGGGCATGATGTTAAACATTCACACAAAACGTTTATTCTATTTTTGATTTAAAATCCTCGTTTATATATATATATATATATATATATATATATATATATATATATATATATATATATATATATATATACTTGTATGCTGAATATTATGCATTGACAGAAATATAAAATTCTTTTCTTTGTGTTCATAAAATCTTGGCTGCGTTCAAGACTGGAGGAGCTAGGATAGGTATTTAGGCAATTAAACCTTGATCGCCATTAGCTATATTGTTTTTGGAAGTAAACATGAAAAGGGCGGCTCTGATCTAAAGAGTGTATTATTAACAAAAATATATATATATTTATGAAAATCAATATAATCCTGATATACCTGTATACATTTTAAAACTAAATAAATATAAATAATATAGAAATAAAGCATACTGATTAGGTCAATTCCAAGATATATAGACCTAAGAAAAAGCATATCGACTTAGAACGAGATGGATACTTTTTTACTTTGTTCTATATATCTAGAAATTTTGCAAAATTAAGTGCTTATATTTGTATTATTATTATATTTTTATAAACACATAGTCAACCTCAAGTATTGATGTCCCTGTCGTTTGTTTCCAATTTAAGAAACATTTAGAAATATAAAGTTGGAAGCTTTTTTAAAAAAAAAAAACTAAATAAAACACCAAGTCTGTATGCTGTTTTGTACCTGATCTGGTGATCCAGTTTGAGTCAATCAGATGGCATGCAATTATAGAGAAAAATTATTTTTAAAAATCTCTTTTTTATTCCCGATATTAAAATCAATAATCTAAACTTCAACTTTGCAACAAAATTCTGGAAAAATTGTTGTTATGATGATATCTCACCATTCACTTTTGAATCAGTGATCAACTTTTGTGTGTGTACATGTGTGTGTATTTTAATGATCCACTCAGCCCAAGAATCGATAAGAATCACCCTCACGGTAGCTCAGTCGGTACATCGCTCGCTCCGTGATCGGAAGGTCGTGAGTTCGACTCTCGGCCGCGAATGACCGAAGTCGATAAAAAAAAGATAAGTAGCAACTGCTCTTTTGCCATGCACTCGACACTTTGAAGTGAAAGTTGCGGGTTCTTCGGATGAGACCTTAAAAACTGAAGCCCCGTGTCATGGCAGACATTGGCACGATAAAATCTCTCACTGCTCAATGGCTCTGAGTGCCGAGTAAAAGTCTCAATTTGTAGCCCTTCACCGGTATATAGTGACGTCTCTATATGAGTGAAGAAGTCTCGAATGAGAGGTTAAACAACACACAATCAAACAATGGCCCTGAGTGCCGAGTAAAAATCTAAAGAACAAAGTTCACTTGGGACCTTTTTTGGCCCTGTGAATTTATGAAAAATAAAAAATGCTCATCTTTAGTTGAAAATACATTAGATTGTATCTGGATTCTTGCTGACTGCATATCTATTAAAATTGACGTAATTTTCTCGCTTATTCATGCATAATGACGTCGTGAATTGCGTCATTATCCCTAAATCCTGAAAAATTCTTCAAAAATGGCCATAAATTTAAGCTATTTTTCAATATTTTGCATAGACCCCAACCTCTGATCTAAAATGTTGAATTATACAATAAAAGTACTGTTTCAGAAGATTATAATCCATTGTTTTATTTTTTGGATCGCAGGGTGGGCTCATATTTTATTCCTTTGCTGAACGTGCTCAAATACACCCATTTTCGTCAAAAATTCAAGACCATTACAATTTCACAAAGCCACTTTCTCAATACCTGGACTCCGAGAGGAAATTATTTTATAAGAAATTAAAGCACTTAATCTCTACTTTATATTGATGCTTGAAATGGGACTTTGCGACTTGGTCAGTTAATTGGTATATCGACAGGGCCATATTATGAAGTTAGTAAACCTTACTCATTGAAGCCCTTCACCGGTCTATGGTGACGTCTCTCTATGAGTGAAAAAGTCTCGAATGGACGTAAAACAAAATACAATCAATCGATAGGAATCTTATCCAAACATGTGTTAAGTAATGTTTTATCTCTGCAAACAAAAATGGAAATCGGTTATGACAATTTGTAGGACACCTAATGAACTATATTTTCTTTCTTTTTTTAGGTCACCTCAGTCACTCAGGTGACCTATTGCTATCCGTTTTAGTCCGTCGTCGTCCGTCGTGCGTTAACTTTTGAACATTTTCAACTTCTTCTCTAGAACCGCTCAACCAATTTTGGCATAAAGCATCTTTGGATCTTTGGGCGAAGGGGAACAAAAATTGTGAATTTGATGGTCCCTGCCCCCTGGGGCCCCAGGGGTGGGGCTAAAACCACCAAAATTGATGCAATCTTTAAAAACCTTCTTCTTTACTCCTGGACATCAAACAGTCAAACTGTTGTCATGATTGTAATAAGCATTGGGCCCTCTACCTAAATTGTGAAATTAATGGCCCCAGGGTCAGGGGTTATGGTGTTAAGGCGAGGCTATATAGATCATATAGGGAAAATGCATTATTTCTTTGAAAACCTTCTTCTCTTCTCCTGGGTATTATTTAAACAAACTAAGTGCATGGTTATGATAAGCATTGATGCCTTTTCCAAAATTAAGTGCATGATAATGGTGCACAAGGATGATTTTTCCAAAATTGTGAAATTCATGGCCCCAGGGTCAGGGGTTGTGGTGTTAGGGCGGGGCTATATAGATCATATAGTGAAAGTGCATTATTTCTTTGAAAATCTTCCTCTCTACTCCTGGGTATTATTGAAACAAATTGAATACATAGCTATAATAAGCAAGAGTGACTCTACCAAAATTGTGAAATTTATGGCCTCAGGGTCAGGGGTTATGGTGTTTGGGCGGGGCTACATGTATATAGATCACATACATGTAGTGAAAATGCATTATTTCTTTGAAAATTTTCTTCTCTACTCCTGGGTATTATTGGAACAAATTGAATACATAGCTATAATAAGCAAGAGTGACTCTACCAAAATTATGAAATTTATGGCCCCAGGTCAGGGGTTATGGTGTTAGGGCGGGGCTATATAGATCATATAGTGAAAGTGCATTATTTCTTTGAAAATCTTCTTCTCTACTCCTGGGTATTATTGAAACAAATCGAATAGTATTACATGTTCATAGTTATGATAAGCAAGGGTGACTCTACCAAAATTGTGAAATTCATGGCCCCAAGGTCAGGGGTCCTGGTGCTGGGGGGGGGGGCTCTATTGATAATATAGTGAATCTCTAGTAAAAATGCATTATTTCTTTGAAAGTCTTCTCTGCACCTGGGCATATCAGAGGCAAAAAGAGTAAAAGTTTTAATAAAGATTTTTGAACATCTGGACCATTTGGTCAAGTGTTCTGGTCCTGGCCAGGGCTCTATTAATTTGTATTCAACTGAGAGGAGTTATTCCCCTTTGCTATTTACTTTTGATAATTAATCACTGTAAATAATATACTTGAAAGGTTAATAGAATAGGAGAATTATGTAAGATTTTTTTATTGTAGAATACAAAAAGTACTTTTATAGTTAAAATGATCAGGTGGACTTGTAAGTAATAGATAAATAAAAATGAGACAAAAATAACTTGTCTTATTCAATGTTCATCAAAGACCAAGAAGTCCAATGTAAGAGATTTCATCAAGGAAATAAAATAGTACAGGATCACTGATAATTTGTTAATATACTGTATGGTGATAGTGATAAATCGGGAACAGATTAGAACCTAATTTATGGACTGTTAATGAAAAGTAGACTAATTATTTTGTTGATCCTGATCACCCTATTTTCTT